TTATTATCTGGGTGTCCAAATACTTCTTTAAAACGTCTTCAGTTGATACAAAATGCTGCTGCCAGAGTCTTAACTGGAGTTACTGGGAGAGATCATATTTCTCCAGTTTTAGCTTCTCTCCATTGGCTCCCCGTCAAGCCCAGAATAGAATTCAAAATCTTACTTCTAACCTACAAAGCTCTCAACAACCTGGCTCAATCTTATATTACAGATCTTATTGTTCCACATTTTACTAACAGAGCACTTCGCTCTCAGACTGCATGTTTACTTGTGGTTCCTAGAGTTTACAAAAACAGAATGGGAGGAAGATCTTTCAGTTCTCAGGCTCCTCTCTTGTGGAACCAACTTCCAATCTCTGTCCGTGAGACTATGACACATTATCCAGTTTTAAAACTAGGCTTAAGACTTTCCTTTTTGATAAATCCTATAGTTAGGGTCGGCTTGGGTTTCCTGAGCTGTCCCTTAGTTCTGCTGCTATAGGCTTAGACTGCTGGAGGACAAACTGAGCACAATTTTCACTCTGCTACTGTCTTTACTTACTCTGCTCAACCTGTTTTGTATTGTAATTATTTTTTCTATCCTTAAAATGTGTTTTTTTTTTTGGTCTTTCAGGTACACCAGGACCTATACCTGGACCTCGACCTATATCTGGACCTGGACCTATACCTGGACCTACTATTCTGTGTTCGTCTGTCTCTCCTTCCTGTCCTCTCAACCAGCCGGTCAAAGCAGATGGTCTCTTGTCCTGAGCTGGTTCTTCTGGAGGTTTCTTCCTGTTAAAGGGAGTTTTTCTTTCCACTGTCTCCACTGTGCTTGCTCAGGATGGGAGACTGCAATGAAGCCAAGATTCAACTTGTCTGCTGGATTCCTTAGATAGAGAACTTTTCTAATTGGCTTTTATGTGAATGTTCCTGTAAAGTGCCTGAAACAACTTTGTTGTGATTTGGCGCTATAAATAAATTGAATTGAATTGAATTGTAACTACAGCGGATTCGGGAGGGCAGGGTGGAATCCTCCGGATGCATGTAAACCCAAAATCCGACCGTGTCAACGCAAATCTTTTCCTCTAATTAACATACAAAAAAAAACTAAGTCCCCCCCCCCCCCCCCCCCCTCATCGTGTCCGTGTAAATAGGGCCTTACTCTCTTCAGATACTTTCTTTGAAGTTTCATTGCAGAGTACTTCCTGCTTCCAAATGATACCATCGTCCTGGACCTCTTTACTGCAGTATGCTATTATAGTGTTTTGTTTTTATTTATTTATTTTTTCCATTTACCCTTTATTTATACAGGTCAAGTCATTAATATGCAGGTAGTCTCATTGAGCCACGAGAACTCATTTTCAAGAGAAACCTGTTTAAGGAGCAGATGGTGGGGGTTAAGGGCCTTGCTCAGGGGCCCAGAGTGGGGAAAATGAGGGTGGAGGGAGGTGTGGGTGCTTCACCTTTTCCACCCACATGTTGATGTTGACGGTACTGGGAGTTGAACTTGCGACTTTCCGATCACAGGCCCATCTTCTAACCTCTGCGCCACCACTCCCCCATTATCAAAAATTATCAATATAAATATTTATTTTTGATAATATTTATATAAATATAAATATTATCAAAAATATCTTATGCTATAGGGCTCTCAGCTTTCCTGCAGACATTACTGCATCCTTGCAGAAAATATTTCTGGCTTGGGAAAAACCAAAGACTAGAAAAATCAGGTGCTGTTTGAGTCCGTGTGGGTTGATTTAGTCCAACTTAGACATTTTACAGCAGCAGCATTGCATATTTCCACTGTTCAGTGGACTTGCCACATGTGTGGAGATCTGGGGAAACATACTGCCACCGTGCACATTAATAAAGAGAGAATGTGAGTGGAAGAACAACAAACTTGTTGAAATGGAAATGAAATGTTATGAGCTAAATTTAAAGAAAAACATAAAATACTGATGCACTGAGGAATATGTTCAACTGAATCTGTAGGATTATATGAACAATGAAAAACATTTAAATATAAAGTTTAAATCATAGGCGTCACAACCATTAGGGGAAAAGTCCCCCCCACATTAAAAAATCGTTAATTTGGAAACCCCCCCCCCCCCCAAGACAACCCGAAAACCACCCCCCCCACACCCACCC